ACATCAAAGGAACTTAAAACAACAACAATAACCCACGAGTGTAATAAAATTGTAATGTAGACAGAAAAAGAACCCTGCAGGTTAAATTTTAACTGTAATTTTATCTTTTTTGATATTCCTAATCGTGTACAACAATCTGCATCAGACTAGAAATTTGTATCTAAGAGACTTGCAATGACAGAAAAGTACAAGAATGTAATAAAATTGTAAATCAAACCTAAAAATAAGACTACAAGATAAATTTTAACAGTTATTTTATAATAACATAACATCATAATTATATCAGACATCTTTTAACCTCCAAAAATGAAACAATCTGCATCTGACTAGAAATTTGTATCGAAGAGACTTGAAACAATAGAAAAGTACACAAGTAATATACAAATTGCTAACTAGAATCTAAAAACAAGACTACAAGTTGAATTTTAACAGTAACTTTATCTTTTTCTTTAAATTTTAACCTACAAAATACAACAATCTGCGGATAACATTTGCACTGAAGGAACTTATAACAATAAAAAGGTAAACGAGTGTAATAAAAATGTAATCTATACTGAAAAACAAGAAGACAAGTTGAACATTAACAGTAAATTTGTCATAACATTTCATCTTATTCCTCTTGAACAAATTTTAATCTCCAAAAATGAAACAATCTGCATCAGACCACAACTTTTACATCGAAGAAACTTGAAAGACCAGAATAATATATGAGTAATATGAAAATAGTAACTTCAACACGAAAAGATTTAACAGTAATTTGATCATTTTTTATCATCCTAATCATGTTGGAGAACTTTTAACCTTAAAAATACAATGATTTGCATCAGACCAGAAATTAACAAGCAAGTATCGAAGAGACTTGCAACAATAGAAAAGTATACAAGTGTAATAAAAATAGTACCTTGAATTCAAAACTTAAACTGTAGGTTAAATTGTAACAATAATACCATCATTTTTTTCACGATATTTCATTCTATTTATATCAGACATCTTTTAACCTCCAAATATGAACAACCTGCATCAAACTACAAATTTGCATCGAAAGGACTTGAAATGACAAAAAAGTACAGGAGTTATATACTAAATGTACCTTAGACCTAAAAACAAGACTGTAAGTTACTAAAATACAACAATCTGCATCAGATAAAAACTTTGGCATCGAAGAGACTTGCAACAATAGAAAAGTACACGAGTACTTTTTATTAATCATAACACTTCATCTGGTTATATTGGACAAATATAACAATCTGCACCAGACGACGAATTTTCCATCAAAGGAACTTGCAACAATAGAATAACATATGAGTTATATACAAATTGTACCTCAAATCTAAAAAACAAGACTACAAGTTAAATTTTAGTACTTTGGTGTTAACTTTAACCTAACCTTCACTTACAACCAAGTATTTACATGAGGGGCAGAAAATGACAATCAATTAATAATCAAAGCATATCAAAGCAATCTATTATTATTATGACTTACTTGACATTTTTCAAAGTTCTCCTGTTCGATTTCCAAGCTGGTTTTCTTATTTTGTAACACTCTCTGCAACGACAACGAAGCCATAATACGGATGCATAAATACAAACACTAATAACAAATAAAACAAACTAACAAAATCAAAAATAATAACTGATAATTTTGTACTTTGTAGTTTTATAATTTGTACACAACCTACAAAAATATTTATTATTTTGACACATGAGTTCTCAACACTGCGAAGGCGCTCCTGTCTCTTTGTGATGACTTTCACTGTTCGAGTGGGGATAATAATAATAATACACTTTTATGGTAATCGAAATTGTAAGTGATTATTTGTAAATGGTTTATTATGGTTTTATTTAGAGTTTTGTGTGTGAATTAATTGTTATTTACAGGTTTTTGTGCAAGTTTTGCGAAGCACAACAAACTGTTGAGTGCGGTAAGGTATGTCCACCTAGCGGGGGAATAAGAAATTTAAATGCAGGCGCGAAATTTAAATTTATAAATATATTTTTGTTCACTTAACATATTAACAATAAAAATAGCAACGTATAGTAAATACTTGTTTGTTTATATATATTTATATCCAAATAAACACGTCTATTGATATCAATCATTAATTTAATTGTGACATTTTGCTGAAGCAACATGAACTTAGCCACATTTGTAAATATTAATTCAAATGCATTTGTAAATATTAATTCAAATGCGTAATTCAAATTTATGAATATATTTTTGTTTTTCAATAAAATAACAATAAAACTAGCAATATATAGTTAATACTTATTTGTTTATATATATTTATATTTAAATAAACACGTCTATTGATATTAATTTATGAATTTAACTGTGTGACATTTTGCTGAAGCAACATGAACTTAGCCACATTTGTAAATATTAATTCAAATGCGTAAATTCAAATTTATGAATATATTTTTGTTTATTTAATAAAATAACAATAAAACTAGCAATATATAGTTAATATTCATTTGTTTATATATATATATATTTATATTCAAATAAGCACGTCTATTGATATCAACCATTAATTTAACTGTGTGATATTTTGTCAATTAAGCAACATGAACTTAGCCACATTTGTTAATATTAATTCAAATGCGTAAATTCAAATTTATGAATATATTTTTGTTAATTTAATAAATTAACAGTAAAAATAGCAATATATAGTTAATACTTATTTGTTTATATATATTTATATTCAAATAAACACGTCTATTGATGTTAATTTAACTGTGTGACATTTTGCTGAAGCAACATGAACTTAGCCACATTTGTAAATATTAATTCAAATGCGTAAATTCAAATTTATGAATATATTTTTGTTTTTCAATAAAATAACAATAAAAACAGCAATATATAGTTAATACTTATTTGTTTATATATATTTATATTTAAATAAACACGTCTATTGATATTAATTTATGAATTTAACTGTGTGACATTTTGCTGAAGCAACATGAACTTAGCCACATTTGTAAATATTAATTCAAATGCGTAAATTCAAATTTATGAATAATTTTTTGTTTATTTAATAAAATAACAATAAAACTAGCATATATAGTTACTTCTTTGTTTATATATATATTATTTATATTCAATAGCACGTCTATTGAATCAACCATTAATTTAACTGTGTGATATTTTGTCAATTAAGCAACATGAACTTAGCCACATTTGTTAATATTAATTCCAATGCGTAATTCAAATTTATGAATATTTTTGTTAATTTAATAATAACAGTAAAACTAGCAATATAAGTTATACTTATTTGTTTATATATATTTATATTCAAATAAACACGTCTATTGATGTTAATTTAACTGTGTGACATTTTGCTGAAGCAACATGAACTTAGCCACATTTGTAAATATTAATTCAAATGCGTAAATTCAAATTTATGAATATATTTTTGTTTATTTAATAAAATAACAATAAAACCAGCAATATATAGTTAATACTTATTTGTTTATATATATTTATATTTAAATAAACACGTCTATTGATATTAATTTATGAATTTAACTGTGTGACATTTTGCTGAAGCAACATGAACTTAGCCACATTTGTAAATATTAATTCAAATGCGTAAATTTAAATTTATGAATTTTTGTTTATTTAACAAATTAACAATAAAACCAGCAATATATAGTTAATACTTATTTGTTTATATATATTTATATCCAAATAAACACGTCTATTGATATCAATCATTAATTTAACTGTGTGACATTTTGCTGAAGCAACATGAACTTAGCCACATTTGTAAATATTATAAATAATTATATAAGAGATGCAGGCGCGAACTTCAAATGCGTTTTTAAATATAGTTTTGTTTAACTAGTAAATTAACAATAAAACTAGTGGTATGTATGGCATCGTGCCTTATTAAAGCAAATTGATGGAACTTCCCATACCGTAACAACATGTTCGAGGAATATTAAATGTTTTCAAATAGATTAGTATAAATACTGTAATATTATCTAATATTTATAAGAATTATATAAACGGAATTGCAAAGTTGAAAATATTTGTTTAAAGTATATTAGAACTTAAGTCAGAATTACAATTAAAATCTGAAATTTTATCGATATATAAAATAATTTCGATAAAAATATAAATTTGAAATAATTTTTTTTCCCAATTATTTTGTCAAAACACGCAGAGAGTTTTCTTAATCATTCAAATCGGATGCTTAGTTCTCTCAAACTGCCATTTTTTGCACATTTAGCTCGGTATCTCCAAAACCCCTAGACCTGCCTTTGCCAAAAATTAATCACCACTTGTCCTCATCAATACAAATTGAATGTTGTTTTAATCATTAAAATCGGATGCTCCGTTCTCTCAAAAACTCGATTTCTATTTTATGTACTCTTTGCTCCGTATCTCCGAAACGGTTGGACCTGCCTTTACGAAAAACTAATCAGCACATATCCCCATCATTGGAATCGATGTTTTTTGAACAATTTAATCGTTTGATCCGTGCGCCCGAAATCGTTGACAGAAAAAATGTATCCGCACACCAGTACACACACAACACATTCATTTTTTCTGAGGTATGCCTAAATGTTCAGTTTTTGAAAAAACGTCAAAAAAGGTCAAATTTTGGCTCACACCTTTTTCAAATTTTGGGATCAATCGATTCAGAATTACTAAAAACATTGAAAAAAAATAAAAAACTGTAAATTTAATTTGATTTATTTACACTTCTATTTAATTTTTTTCCTATTAATCTTCATTTGAGTGTTAAGTTCCATTTTCATAATATAGGTTTAGTTAATTCGTTTTACAGTAGATTTATTTTTCTATGCTCTAGTAAGCTATATTATTTTCTTTGGCAGTAGATCCTTTTATTATTTCGTTCTCTTTCTGTTTTCTTATTCGTGTAGCTAGTTATTTTTATACTTATATAAAATATTTTTTTAATTTAATCATAGTATATTTTTAAAAAATATATAAATCATCAACAGTTTTAAAATTGTATTTAATTTGGTTCTATCTCCGGCATGACTCCTGGTATGTCGTACTTGTAAATGTTTATAATACGAATAGTTCTGTATCACATTGTTTATCCAATCTTCATACTAAAAGAGAAGGAAAAAAATACAAGATAAGATTACTACTTAAAATATAAAGAAAAAATGATTTAAAATAGCTTTTTCTCTAAATTCTTCTATTTTTTGTTTCTGTTTCTGTAGCGCTACTTTTCTATTTCTCATCCTGTCTATATTTGTCTTCATATCTATTCCTATTTCTCACTGAATCTCTTATTTACATGCAGGTACTTATTGAACTTTTCTACTCTTTAAATTAATATATATTTGTTATAGTAACCTTATCAACTCTGTGAAAATCGCTGGAACGTTCTTTCTGGCACAACCGATACCATACGATACAATTCCTTGCAGAACATAATTTGTGTTGGAGTGACTCGAATCCCAAAAGAGTGGACCTCCGGAATCACCCTGAAATAATAAAAAATATAATAATAATAACAAAAGATAGTAACAATTATAAAATAATACTTTATATGGATAATATACAAAAAATGTGCTCGTTTAAGGGGGTTGTTCAGTTTTTATTTATTTTATTTTCGATTTTGAGATTTTTTGATATTATGAAAGCTAAAAACTTCAGAATTATTTAAAAAAAAATCATCTCAATATCTATTTTTTTGACGAAGTTATAGATATATATATATCTCAATGTATGATCCTCTGAAACCGCTTTTTACATCGCTCCGCGAGCTATTGTATGCCAGCTGCTCTCTTTTTCATTATAATACCTCATGCACATGACCTTTTTAATGTGTCAGCATCTTTGAACACCATGGTGTATTTAGTACATTAAATTAAATTGTGTATTTAGTACATTATATTAAAAACTTTAAATACGTTTTTCTCAAAATGACTTTTTTCAATGCGGTGCAAAATTGATCACGTGATTAATGGACGTCCCAACACGTGTATTTTTAGTTACGTAATAAAATCGTAACTTTATATTATTTTTTTTGAAAATTTAGGTAAAAAATAAATACACTTGATATTTTACTAGATCCACACCCTTCCCCTCCCACGTGATTTTTTGTTAACCCTCCCTGTGATTGATGGACTCAACCTCATTATAAAGAGTTATGGCTCACTATCCATTTTTTATTTAAATCTCGTTATATTAATTAGGGGGCGTCCATTAATTACGTGATCAATTTTTAGAAATTTTCCCCCTTTCCTCCTTATTATAGATATTTAAAATTACCCCCACCCCCCTTCCACAAACACAACACATGTTTTTTAGTTACGTAATAAAATCGTAACTTTTTGCATTTTTTTTTGAAAATTTAGGTAAAAAATAAATACACTTGATATTTCACTAGAATCCTCCTTCCCCCATGTAATTTTTCATATTTTTTTGCCAACAAGACTCCCCCCCCCCGCCTTTCCCTAAAGTGATGAATGAACGACTCTTATTATTTATGCTACAATGCAGGCGTCCTTGGTTCCATTGGCGTACATGGTGCACATTTGGGTGTCGGTCAAATTAAATCTTGGCACGTGCGCCTTGCACTTGCTCAAATTCAACAAAGGGCAATTCGACTTCTCGAAGATATTTCAAACGGGTGTAGGGTGCAGGAGCCTCTGTAAAAATACATAAATAGTTGAAAAAAAAACAGGGACTGAAAGCCGAAGCACAGGACTAGGAAAAGAAAATCATCGATTTGAGGTCCTGCCTTCGGGTTTATTATAATAATTATATATCTTATATATAAAAATAGAGCTCTCTTTCAAATGTCCAAGTAAAACTCGAAAACGGCTGAATCGATTTGGCCAGTCTTAGTCTTGAAAAATTCGTGCCATACCAGAGATGGTCGGAAAGGTGAGATTATTTCAAAATCGCGTAGAAACTTTACTATTTTATTTGAAAAATGTTTGTAGAAGCGTCATTTAAATAAAACAATGGACGATGGCTAATACGTCAAATGTCAAACATTTTTCACAGATGATGATCAATTGCGTTTAATAGGATGTTTATGTGAATATTATTTAATTATGATTAAATTGTAGTAAGTAGTTTTGTTTGTAGTTATATTTATATACAAAAACGTTAGTAAACGGGCCGCAAGTGTTACTAGAGACTCAAAATATAAACTTTTTGATATGTTAATATGAAAATGCACTTTTTGGCATATTTTTTTCAAACACGGTGCTCTGAAAGATCTCATTTGTATAATTATATACTCATTGGTATTTATAAAACATTTTCTAGGTTATATTATTTTTAATTTATGTTATTTAAATTCAGAACCTGAACTTGGTATCGATCAAAGGGACATTTGGTCGATTAACATTTCCCAGTTATAATTTCCGAGAATTTATCGAAGAATAGATACAAATATATGAAAGTCCGAGTTAAAAAAAGTCCAACACCAATGTATCAAAAATCAGTAAAGTTAAGCATTATTAACAACATATGTGAAAGTAGAGGGAAAAAGATGTATAACCAGCTATAACTTTGATTCTTATGACTGCTATCGGGAGATATAAACGGTAATCTTTGATAACACATAATAAAAGTATTTTCTTCTGTTGGTAGTTTTTTAGCATTAGTTAAAAATGTAATTGTTTTGTAAAATACTTTTAAAATTAAAATAAGACTTTAAATCTGTTTGCCAACTGGCCGTTTCAAGTTACTCCGCCTCCTATAGGGTAAAAAAGTCTAGATAATAAATTTTTTAAAGACAACAAAAAAGCACCTTTCTACAATGATGAAGTAGCTGACAGTTTTACTGAACGTAGTCAGATAATTGTTCGTTTAAAATGTCTTATTTGGTTGTCAAATTAAAATGTGATAAAAGGTTGTCAAATATCTCCCTTCCGCCTTTTTGTATTATAAACCAAGAGCAAAAAAGCGGAAGGGAGATATTTGACAACCTATTATAATTGGTTTGATTTATATAATATCATTAATATTTGCTCAAAGTCAAATTGGACCTCGCCCTGCTCTACATATATACTTTTTATTAAATTTACTTTAATTCATCGAATGTTACTTGAAACTTTTCAAAAAGCAGGATAAAGAAGAAATACTTAATTCATTTTTATCTCTCCTCGCAGAAATTTGAATTTTTTTAAAGCTCATAATAATATTACAATTACACACAATATCCAGAATCTAAAAAAATCTGAAAAATTTAAAACGTAATCAATAAGTCGAAAGACCAAAAAGACTTGGATGGATTATACCATGTTTCTGTCAAGTGTATAAACTTCCAGTTTGATTGTGTCGACAAAATATAGACAAACTAATGGGGTTTATTGTTTTGATAATACCTCATTGTATATAGCATTCAAACAACTCATTCTTATACACTTAAAGTATTAATTTTTATGATTCTTTGGAAATTGTTTAGAGATACCCCACTTAGCAAAACAACGTTTGTCGGGTCAGCTAGTATATATATATATTATTATATATAATTATTATAATAATTATTATTATTATTTTTATTTACTTGACGAGTTCCTCTGCTTCGTCTGTCCCCATCCAATGACGATACATTTTGCCCTAAGATCGGCAGCATCTGCATTCCGGTTTTCAGCAGCAGTTGCAACTCGGATCAAGTTCACATAAGTGGTCAATTCGAATTTTTTGTTTACCTAAAAATAAAACACAACTGATAATATGTATCTTTTTTTAAAAAAAATCCTATATACCTTTATCAATCGTATATCGTTGGTTATCGGTTTGGTGGTGAAGTTTTCGTGCCTGATGGCCGCTTCGACGTAACGTTTTTGGCTGCAAGGGTTGCGCTGAGGGGCGTGCACGTTGTTCTGACCTCCGAGGAGGGTCATATTCCTCAAACTAAAAAAAAATACACATCAAACTATTATATAATCTAGATATTCAACATTAGTCAAAATAAACAACTAGCTATTACGTAATCTAAGTATTTTGGGAATCAAGTAGACCATGAGTTTTGAAAGATACAAATATTCATGTGATGACATTTTTGTACAGTTTTGATAATGATATATTTTAATACATTTTTTATAAAACATAGATATATCTTTTTATTAATTTACATATTTGACTCCCACAATATGAATCTTATTTTGTCGAATGGTGTTCCGCAAGGGTGCGCCTTGGGACCTCTTTTCATTTTCGATACTCAAAATCAATTAATCAATTATATATGCATAACAGACCAATGTTATGGCAAGGCTATGT